ATTATGTGCTGATTGAAACATTGTTTACTTTTATTTTTATTTCAATGAGGTGAATAATTTAGATTTAACGCAACAAATTAATACATATGAGTTTTAAAATAAATTTATAGATTTAAATTTGGATATTACACAAATCAGACAGATGAAACAAAAATTCTAATTAGATAATACGCAAAGAATTCAGAATTCAAATAATGGACCACTAGAAATGTAGATCAACTTCATATGGGATGTTTGGTGCAATGACAAGCGTGATCTTCCTCGAATCGCCGGCTGGTGTCGGCTTTTCTTATTCACTCCGACTACAACAATGCTGGCGGTACCACCACCGCGGTCGACACCTACACTTTTCTCGCCAACCGGTTAGTGAGGTTTACTGGGTATAAAAGAGGGATACTTTCATCGCCAGGGAGAACTATGCCGGTCATTGCTTCCCTCAGTTGGCTTCCATAATTCTCTACAACAATGAACACACGAATCAAACTATCACAAACCTCAAAGGAACCGCTGTTTCCATCAATGCATCTTCAGTAATGTTTCGGGTCTGAGATGAGCAGATAAAACATTAACGAGAAGGGCGAAGAGAGGAAAGATATTGGTTGTTGGCATATAGGTCAAATTTGTGCAATGCACCCAAAAAATGGACTATTGTTGTTTCCAAATGTTGTAGCAAATCACTCATCATTCCAAATGTTGACAGTATCAACTTTGCTCATTTGTTTCTAGCATCAAATATGTGACCTACAAGAAACAACTATTCAGAGGTGTATCTAGATGCTTTTAAACTGGTGGCCTGATGAATCCATTCCTTTTCTAAGGTCATTGTCCGAAAAGATAAGTCACATGATAAACATAGCCAGGTATGGGTTTTTTTTTGGCATAATACCCCAATCAGGCAAATTATTTGGCTCAATAAGCCAATATGATTTTTATTTTGAGATCTACAGCATTTTCTACAGTGAAGGACAAACTCGTTATGTCGAGATGAAAGTTTGTTTGAAATTATATTTTACTGGTCCCATGTATGTGGATCCCATGTGAGTCAGCATTTTAATTTTCTAACCGGAAGAGGTAACGAATTCGCTTGAATTTTAAAAAACTATCCGTTAGATAACGGGCAGAGTTTGAAATTAAAAAAAATAACTAAAACTCGTCACTTCGGCATGTCCGTTTATTCAAATATAATTTTAAAAAAACATTTAAAAAAATAATATTAAAAAAAACTTAAATAAATGCGAAACAATTTTATTACAAAATAATATAATGCATAATAAAATTTATTTAGAATCGAATGATAATAACGCGAGACTCATCGAATACGTCGGGTTCATCCGCCTTGATCGTCTTCGTCTTCATCTTCAATTCGTTTCTTGAAGAAGAGGTGTAATGAACATCACTCCACTTTGAGATGCACCTTCGAAATACGGTAATGAGCTTATGGTATTTGACATCATCATTGTTATCATTGACTAAACTTGGGTATATTGTTGACTATATGTAAAATGATCCCATTAACCCTCATATGTTTCATCAGTCGAAGATGTTTGAGTGCTTTTCATTGCATCCCATGAACCTCCAACTCAATTCGACAAAGTCTCCATTAAAGGGTGATATAGAGGATAAAAAACCAAAATTGGTCTGAGATGCAAAAAAATCGACAAAAGCAGAAGACGAAGATGATGACTTCTTGGCCTTTCCTTTGTACCCATACTTCCCTCTCTTCCAAAGATAATAAATATTGTTTCTTGTTTGTTTCTTAATTCTGTAGGTAGAGAGAAATGTTTAGACCAAGGTCGACAGGTGTAATCTCGTAATGCATAGTGACCGATAAATGATGCTAATTCTATTGCTCAACGTAGACAACATGCTCCCTTAACCAATTTTGTTTATGCTTCTCAGCATATCAATTTTATAGAGCGTGTTCATATCAAATATTTATGTAGGAATCAATTTATGAGGCTCAAACCGTCGTAACACTCCATCTACGACGTGAATCCAACAATCGTAGAATGTAGCAGAGGCGTAATGACGGACCACGATTCCGATCCTTCAAAAAAGCATTGCGACAATATCCATCGTCATAATACGAGATACAAGAAAAATGTAAATATTAATAATAAAAGTTAATATAAATATTTTTAAAAAAATAATTAGTATAAATAATTTAAAATATTAATTAAATTTTAATAATCCCAAAATTTTAATATTTATTACGTGTCGACCTACGATATAAATTCTCATTCGTATAGGCTTTTTAGTTACACCCGACAATTTGGTCATGATAATTTTATATCACCATCTAAATAATATAAAAAAATTAAAAATAATAATAAAAAATTACCTTACAATGAGAGAAAGCTCAACCGGGACTGATGTAACTGACGTCGAAAATGAGAACCGATACCATGCCCGCGATTGTAGCAGGACTAGACAACTCACTACATCCGCTTTTGATCCCCTTCGACGATTAGGGTTTTTTCAATCGATCGGTTCGATTAACTGATTGAACCAAATTTCAAAATTTCATAAACCAAAATTTTTTCGCTTTAACCATTAACCGAACTATTTTTTTTTTGAAAATAACTAACTAAACTAATCAAAGTTCGATTAATTGATCGATTAACTGAATTAACCAAACTTTTAAATAATATATATTATATATTTAATATTTTCAACTAATTCGATTAATTCGATCAAATAATTTGATTAAAACCAAAATTTAAACTCTCCTAAAGCTATTAATATATAAATAATATATTAAAAATTTAAAAATTTAGTGTAATTCAATTAGTTAATCGGTTTTGAATCGAATTAACCGATAATCAAATTTTGAAAAAATCATTAACTATTAATCGACCAAATCTAAAATTAGTCGAACGATTAATCGATTTTTTTTGTTTTGATCGGTTTAATCGGTTAACAGAAATTTTGAACACCCCATCCGATGATTGTAGTCTTGCAAAATTCTCGGTATAAGAAAGCCATAATCATCGAACCCCAACTAGTGTTCATCACTCAGTAAAATTTCCCAAAATCGAAAGATACTTAATGTACGTCAAATTGTCAGATTTATTCGGTAATAATATCCCTCCAATTAATTAGAATAGATACATTCGGGCGACAAAAAATACTTCAACTTCGATGAAGTCTCCATCACTTAAAATTCGATCTCCAACCAAGTGATCCATACCCGGTATCCATTTAAGACCTCTGATGGTGACATCTTTTTTAAAACTTGGTAAACAATTCCAAATCGATCGCCTCACTACCGCTGCACCATTTATCGAAACATCGAGTTGGTAAGCGACATCTACCAACGTAATCGTCACTTTACCACTCAAAAAAATGAAAAGTTTACATCTCTGGCCTCCGCTTTCAATTAGATCCGTAACTATTATCAAGTTCGCCTTAAAATCAAGTAGAAATTTCGTTAGATACAGGTCGAATTGTTGCAAATATATAATAATCCGTTGAGCAAATCTCTCGAAATCATTCCTCGTTAACTAACGTTTTTTTATTCTTAACCGAGTTCGAGGAAAAGAATCTGGACATCATTAAAACGTAACATTTCTTCGCTGGTAGACATTTTTCGAAAATTTTCATGATATTTGAATTTCTCTCAATTTTTTGTTTGATAAAACACAGTAAAAAAGTTAAACCAACCCTCTATTTGTAACTTAAAAATCAGCAACTATAAAGACTAATTTTCAAAAATCCCACCAAGCTCATCGCCTCAAGGTGACAAATCCCGTTAAAATTAAACCCACATAAATTCCACATACTTTGGTCCCTTTTGTTATCAGTCTGACCAACTTTGATACCTTATGTTATCGGCTAGTCCGATTTAAATCCCTATACTATTACTTTTGTTTAACACCCTTTTATTTTAAGGTCCTTTTGTTGAAATCACTAACATGGTTAAAGCACTAAATTGAATGGACCGATAATATTAGGGATAGAAATCGGACTGATTGATAACGTTAGGGACTTAAATCGAACGGACCGATGGCGTTAGTGACCATTTTCCTTTAATTTTTTCGGTGACCAAAATCAGTCAGACCAAAAATATAGGGGACTATCAGCATAGTTTACCCAATCATAAAATATTATCGAAAACTGCTGTTTTAAATGGATCATCGCAAACATACTCATATTCTAATCAAAGCGCACGACAACAAATTAAGTTCCTTATTTTATTCTATTATAATAATAAACTAAATCCAAAATCTGGAGTTGTTACGGCTCAATTTCATAGGGAATGAAAGGATATGCAATGCCGGTATTAAGATGTCAGATAGGATATATAAAGGGATTATTTTATATATAAACCATTTTTAACTCTATCTATAAAATAAAAAATTTCATCATTAGTATATAAAATAATTACACAAATATACATATTTAATAACAAGTACTAAATGACTAATAAATAAGATAAATGTAAAGAAAATTCTCATATCATAAGATTTAAATTTGTATTTATACACCCTGCAAGTACTAAATGACTAATATTTTATTCATTTTCACTCTTTTTAATATTAAGTATAATAATAATTTTATATAATATTTTATCATAAATGGTTATGAACATTTATTATAATAAAAATATCAATTTAAAATTTTAAAATATTAATAAAATAATTTAATAACTATTAGTTATAATAACGGAAATTTTAAATAAAAAATATATATGTCAAATAAAAGAATTTATGAGGCTCGTATATGCAAAAATAAATATTAAAGGGATAGATAGAAAAAGAAGTGACGAAAAGAGGAGGAAAGATAAAAGATATCGAGCATTAGATTTTAGGTAGGAAAGATAAAAAATAATTTAATAAATGATTTTTTTTCTTTGGTTTTTTAAATAAAAACGCCACGGATCAGACCTGACAGACAACAAACCATGAAACATCATTAAGTTGTCAACCAATAATAGAATGAAATTGGCCGTACTAATAATGAAAACAAACATGGGAAAAGACTACTAAAATATGCTGCTTTCGGTTTCAGGGATTAAAAAACAAAACAGAAAACTCCATTCTTTTTAACTACATCAGAGGACTATTAAGCAGTCCATGCCAGGATGAATTGAACCCGTTCCAGTTTCCTCTTCCGGAATCGAAGTCGGCCATGGAAAGCTCTTGCTTCGTAGGTGTAACTGTGCTTGCAGTACTCATTTCATCATTATTGTACGGTACCATAAGTTCCCCGTTAAACTTAAACCCCATGTTGTCATTTCCAAACTCGTAGTAAAAGTTGTGGATGTTGTTCTGGTTTCCAAGGAAACTGCTTGTGAGTGCATCAACAATGGCGGGATTGGTGTTAATGCTAGGGTTTCCGAGATCATCACCGAACCCTAACGGGAAACTAGGCTGGTTTTGGAGCCTAGCAAAGGCAAGGCTTAGGTCATTGGTATCGTAATTCAAAGGAGGGAGATGGGTTGTAGTTGTTGTGATGAGTGGGTTGTTGGTAGGTGTTAACGGTTGATCTTGGCTCCTCTTCGATGATGATCTTTTGTTCTTCCTGCACCCACCTCCCACTGGAACATTTCTCAATGTGCCCCCTTTGGTCCAGTACCTCCTGCATGACTTGCAGAAATACCTTGGCTGAGAAAGGCTGTAGTTGTTGTAATAGCAGAATTTGGTGTTGGTGGATTCACATCTAGGGCACTTCACTGCTTCTTCATGTTGTGGTCTTGCCTTTCTCTCTTGGTGTCCGTCTGAGCTAACCGATATGTTTTCAACTGAAGAGTTAACCATCTCCTATAAAGCAAAAACATTAATGGAATATATTAGACCAAATTATTCAAAGAAATAAAATGTTGGTTTAAAATAAATCATAATACATAATACCTGGTGTTGTGTGGTTGAAGAATCCATTTATGCAACCCAGAAAAGAATGCAAATACCCAACCCAGGTAAGAAATTAAATTCCAACTATGGTGGTTGTTGTAACAAGAAGAGAACAAGTAGCAGTGCAGTCTGCAGAGGGGAAAAGAGGTAAAGTAAGCCGAGTATGAAAGAAAGGAGAAGAAGAGAGCTGAGTTTTGTGTTTGGTAACAACTCAAAGCAAAACAAAGGTGAATGTATATGTAAAGCGAAAGGTGGCCCCTCAACTACACCTCCCGATGAGAGTGAAAATGAGTTAAGAAATGATCAATTAAATTCGTCTTTTTATTAATCTATCACAGAACTGTCATGATGATTTTTTCCGTACGATATGATGATACGATTCTCCAACGTAGGGTATTTATTATTTTATTATTTTTTAATATTATTTTATATTCCATAATTGAGTCATCAAACAAAATTAACAGATTGATTCAAGTGATAGTAAATTTTAAATTTAAATTATTGTATATATAGAAAATCTATATTGATTTATTCATCCATTAAAATGATGGGTACCATATGTATTAACTAAAAAGAAACCTTAACCGTGAAGGAAAAAAAAAACTGGCTAAGATACTCCATGTCTCCAATACCCTTCAGGGCCTGTCCTTGTGGGACCCTTCTCGCGTGGATTCGACCATGCTTTGGGGCCCATCTGATTCAAGGCTACTCACACTCCACTACCGTCATTGGATAATCGCGTGTATGTGTATCACATTTTAATTAGAGAAAATAAGACCAAAAATGCCTTATAATATACGATTTTAATCAATTTTTTTTTGGATTTACGAAAGTAACCAACAAATTTGCAACGCGAACTCCAATTTCGTAACACAGGTTCTAAAATCGCAACGCGATTTTCCAAATTCGTAACGATAAAGTCAAATTCACAACACGAAAGTTAAAATCGCAACGCGAATAGTTAAATCGCAATGATAATATGTAAATAGCAACGCGAATTCTCCAAATTCGCGTTGCGATTTTGGAGAATCGCGTTGCGAAAATGAAATTCGCAACGCGAAAGTCAAATTCGCAACGCGAAAGTCAAATTCGCAACGCGAATAGTTAATTACCTATATAGGTAATTAGCGTTGCAATTTTTCAAATTCGCAACGCGAATAGTTAAATCGCAACGATAATATGTAATTCTCAATGCGAATAGGTAAATCGCAACGATAATATGTAAATCGCAACGCGAATTCTCCAAATTCGCAACGCTAATTACCGATATAGGTAATTAGCGTTGCGAAAATGAAATTCACATTGCGATTTAACTATTCGCATTGCGAATTTGGAAAATCACTACGCTAATTTCAGTTTCGCAACGCTAATTACCTATGTAAGTAATTAACTATTCGCATTGCGAATTTTACTTTCGCAATGCGAAATTCGAGTTGCGAAAACGAAATTCGCAACGCGATTCTCCAAAATCGCAACGCGAATTTCGTTTTCGCAATGCTAATTATCTATATCGGTAATTAGCGTTGCGAAATTCGAGTTGTGAATTTGGAGAATACGCGTTGCGATTTTGACTTTCACATTACGATTTTGGAACCTGTGTTGCGAAATTGGAGTTCGCGTTGCGAATTTGTTGGTCATTTTCGCAAATCCAAAAAAAGTTGGTTAAAATCATATATTATAAGGCATTTTCGGTCACTGAAATTATTTTCTCTTTTAATTATACCGTATCTCTTAATAATGAATTCTTATAATCATCAGAATTGGAATTGTGTCTCTTTATAATATAATTCTTAATATTCAAAATTAAATACTCTTAAAATTTAGTGCTTATTAATATTAAATCAATAGCATTTGGTTCCTATTAATATTTAATGTTCATTCTTCAATGTGAATCAATCATTTAGCGGAAAGAAAATTTCGAAGGCGCAATCTTATTTTGAGATTTGTTTAATAAGTAATAATTAAGTTTAATGGAATAATTTTTTAAACGTCATCCAATATAGATTTGATTATTCGGATGGGACAGGAAATTAACTGACCTTAAGTGAAGTCAACAAAATAGAAACATTATGTATACATAAATTTCTCGATAAGATATTCATTCATCAAAATCAAATATACGATTTGAGTCGATACAAATTAATCAAAACGAAGTCTTGAAACTAAAAGATAATAAAAAAAACAAAATAAAAACCTATTTTCACCGTACAAATTATTAATGAATTGTCTCATCAGTTCCGTCAATTCATTAACCACATTCATGAGCTAAGCTAAGACATCTCTGAAGTCAAACTCGATCGACAAATAAATTATAACGTCTTTGTTAATACTATAATTTAATGTAAAAATAGAATATCAAATTATAATATTCTAAGAGATAAATTTATAAAATTTAAGGATGAAAATAGATAATTAATAAAAAATATATAAAAGTATATATAAAACTTTTAGGAAAATGATTGTTCCGTCACTCCCTCAATCCATCATTAGATGTAATTACTGTATTTTTATGTCATTAGCATGTCAAATAATTATTAGTTTTAAAAAAAAAATGTTTTTAACATTTTCTACTATCTAAAATGAGTGTAAAAATACTTTTTTCTATATTTTAATAAGAAAATATCATTATATATTTAGTTATAAATAAAATTAGTTTCAAACAATTTGATAATGATTATACTATCTAGATCTTTCATCATCCATAAAAAAAAATATAACGTGTTTAAAAGTATTTAATTTTACATTTTTTGTATTATATGACTAAAAATAAACTATTTATTTAGTTTAATTAATATTTTTCATGAATGGTAAGTTTCTGATTCGAGTTTAATACTGTGCCATAAAAATGTATTTTACCGTATAATTCTTAATTTATTGTAAGTGCGGAATATTCTATTGTCGAATTTTCTTCTGTGATATCTCTTTATGTATATATATATATATATTCCTTGATTCAAGGAGATTTCAATACGCCTACTGTAACTAGGGATGGCATGTTGCCCGAACCAGACAGGTTTCGACCTGATCATGTCGTTTTTTTAAATCGGGGTTAGGTCGGTTTTTAAAATTTGATGTTCGGATGAGGTCGGATTTGAGTTTAGGGTGAAAAATATCCGATCCGGCTTAAAAAATATATAATTTTACCTTATACATTTAAGAATAATTACAATAATACCCATCTATATATATTTTTTTCAATTAAGATACTGTTTTTATTGAATAAAAATAATATTTTTTTAATTATTTCAGGTCAGTTTGAGTTTTTAAGTTATGTATCGGGTCGTGTTTGGGTCGGGTCAGATCTCGGGTGGTGGATTCCTTGTTCTCGAGTCGGGTTGGGTGGACCAAAGTTATGACCCAACCCGACCCATGTCCATCCCTAACTGTAACGCATGGTAATAGAAGTGGATCTTTTATTTTTCTTATATAAAACTACGAGCAAAGATAGAGCATGAACATGTTGAAATCAACTTTTGAACTTACCAACTTAGGGCATGTTTGGTTAACGTGATGTAAGATTATATTTGAGAATAAGATTACCAGAATGTAATATTACTCTGGAATATTATATTACTTTGTTTGGTTTGCTTTCTGAAATGTAAGATTACAATGTTTGTTTGGAGGAATATAAGATTACTTGAATGTATATTTTATCAAATTATTCTTGCGATGTATATTATTTAACAAATAAAATTTTAATATTAAATTATAAATATTTGATTGAAAATTTATAAAAAAATATTTTAATTATTACACTATATAAGTTTAAATAAAAATAATACGTTTAACATGTAATTAATATAATTAGTATACCAAACTTATAATTTTAAATAATTTTCATAAATATCATATTTATTTATATAAAATATAATATAACAAGAAAAATAATATTTTGATATTGAGTAGACAAATATATCATTTTTAATGTATAAGATCTATTTTTTAATAACTCAAAACAAAAAAATTATTTTAAATATTTACATTTTTATGATAATAATATTTTCATCTCATAAAATTATAAAATAATTAATATATATATTAAGTATTAACATATAAAATAATTTAAACTACTCAAATTTTATTAATATTTTATTAAATTAAAGCTTTTGTATATTATTATTATTATTATTAAGTTTATAATTTACAGTAAAACACAAAAAATAAGAATTTAGAAGGATCTACATGAAAAATTTTATTATTTCAATGGTATTTCTGTCCAAAATGATGGGAATTGTTCATTACCTAAGGAATTGGAGGTAATGGCATTCTCACTATTTTAACCCAAAAATACTACTATTGGTAATAAGTTATTACATTATAATAATTTTTGTGTGTGAACCAAACATGATAATACAATTCCGAAAAAAATCAAATCAAACTTCCCTTTAGACACAATAAAACACTACTTATTAAAAGGCTTAATACAAAAATAAGTGCCTGAACTTTACCTCGAAGAACGATTTGGCACATAAAGAATTTTTTGTTAAAAAATTAATGCCTAAAGTTTTATCAGTTACACTTTTAGGTGACAATCGTTATATATATATATATATATATATATATATATATATATATATTTATTTATTTATTTATTTATATATATATTTATATAATAAAAAACCTTAATTTATTTATAAAAGAATCCAAACTTTTAATGAAATTATAAAAAAAACTCAAAAAAATAAAATATCTCATTTCAATCCCGTTACCATGGTGAAACATTGGAGGAGCACCGACGGAGCGACGGCAAAAATGAGTTTTGAGCGAAATTGGACGATGGTTCGAATGGTGGTAACGACGTGACATATGAATGTCTCTTTAAACATTAAATCGTTTTTTTTAATTCATGCATTTATTTTTATATTAAGCAATTATTAAACTGCCACCTAGTTAGTTGCAGTGAAGAACGAGAAAAATGAATCATTTGAAAATACGAACAGTATTAAGACAGGAGATTGGTAGTGGGTCCACAATGACAGAATCCTAGATTGTAATTAGACCAGAGAAGTGGCAGGCTTAGGTAATTAATACGAAAGCCAAGGCAAAGAAACCTAGCTTATGGAAGCAACTTTTTACGACATCGTAAATGAAGCCTCCATGAATAAATTCACCGCCGACATTGGAGTTTCTTCAATACCAAGTACCAACGTTGGTCTATTCATGAATAATATGTTGTAGAAGACCACAAGCAATCTTT